TCTACTAGTAATAACATACTCATAATCTCCCACTAACTAAGTGTGAATAACTGACTCCTCACTTTCTACTAGTAATATAAAATAATGATTAAATGATAAATATGATAAATAAAAAGACACAACAAACAATTTAATAGTGCTAATTACTTAAATACTATAATATGACTTAACCAATCAGCCTGGAACCTATCAACATGCATGTAGTAAGTGTAGACTTCGAGAAGCCTATGATAGTGTCAAACATGAAATAATTTTAAAGAGATCAGAGGTTAGATGGCTGCCACAATTGTACATGAGGGAGATACAAGATAGGTACGCATGAGTTGGAACTTGCTTGAGAATCCCTTTAAGTAGAGAATTCTTTTCCCAGTGGAAGTGTGATTACATTATCTTGTTTGAGCCCACTTTTTGTCGTAATTTTGCATACTTGTTTTCGAGGGATCCATGTACATGTTGTGTGTTTGCTATTTGTGAATGACATTGCAGTATTATTGCATCGATAGTTATGATGAGGGAAGGGGTGAACCTGAATCTTGTAAAAAATAAGAGCAACATGGATCAACATGATTTATGTTATTAGCCGATCTACGACTAAATATGTCATATGCAACTTTAGCAAGAAATGGAATAAGGGGTAGGTGGTCAAAGGATACCTCAAAGAGATTCCATGCATATGGGAATCATTCAAAAGAAGATACGCCCTCCGCAAAAAAATCAAATTTAAGATATTATTACTTGTCTAATTTCTAAAAAATATATTTTAAGAAATAAGATTAAAATGTCAAATAAGTCCTTCAAATGACTTAGTCACTCATTCATGTCAACAATGCTTGCACCCTATAGCTTGGATATTTTAGACAAGTCATCTTAATTTCTTTATTGAATATGGAAATTGGAAAGTGGACAATTAGACAAGCAAAAACAAAGATGGGGACATGGGGTCAACTAACTCCAAACAAAGGGAAAATATATATAGGACGACGTCACACATGTATAAAGGTTAAAATGGATGTGCTACCTGACAAGGTCATGTTTAAACTGAAGGGTGGATTCTACACACTAGCCATTCGCCTTTCTAATATGTATGTGCCCATTTTTAGTCAAAAGAGAAGGCTTTTGAGTGCAAGCTATACGTGACAATAATGATGATGTTGTGGTGGACCTATGATTGTACACTCATGCTCTTGTATCGTGATTGACAAAATACCATATGTGGTCGGCTTATTGCTAATAAAGTAAGAATAGGCCAACTGAATCTGTTTTGTACGTTCACCATGGAGATACATCAGTCAAGAGAGTGGTGACCATAATGGTTGAACTTGATGGCCTTAAATGACCTGTAAAATGAGTTACTAGAAACGTCTTATTAGGGTTGTAGATTTGTAGTAGAGAGCGTGTATGAGTATTGTTAAGGGTTGTATTGAAAATGTCTCCTAAAAGGCAGTAATTTTTTTAAATATTGTTAAGGATTGTTGGGGTCCTCGTGAAAACAACATTGCTTTTCCTAGCGTAGAGGTAAGGTACGAGGGTATACGAATGTCTTACCCTCGAGACCTTACTTCTTAGTGGGATATACTCATATACCAGGTACGATTGGTTTTGATTTATGTCAAGATTTATATTTTTAATCATATTTATATAAATTTTAAAAAGGTTATATTCCATACTAAGAATTAACATACTTCCATACAAAAACATGAACTAAAATACAAGAACCAATGACAGCCTTATCAAACAAAGAGAATCTGTGGGGGGGGGGGGGGGGGG